AAATGTATTTGCAATTTTATCACAAAATGTCCTTATGTCAAGTCAGTGTCCTCATGCCAGGCCTTTTATTAATTTTTATGGGAAAATGAGTGTCCCTATGTCGAATTGTCCGCAGATCAAGGCGTCCGCATGTGGGGGTCTCACTGTATTCCGGGACCATCTGGTGGGTTGCCAAAAAATTACATTCGCAATCTTTTTTTCCCAAATACCAGGACGGTGCTACTTGCTTGCATGCCTCTTTCCAATAACCGGCAAATGGTGTGAAAATTATCATTCAACGAACCAGTTATCCCATCATCGGAAATTCGCAACTTTTGAGACGGGCGAAAAGGGCAGAGCGGGATCATAGAGAAGGCGGGGAAGAAAATGCCGTCGGTCCGGGCGGCGGCCGCGGCGTTCGACGAGGCGGCTGGCAAGCAGAAATCCAACGCCGCCAAACCCGTGCCTTGGCAGCAATCCATCCGCCGCCAGGTGTCGTCCCCCGGTGCGACGACGACGACGACAGCAGCAGCAGCAGCAGCAGCCGCCGCCGCAACACCACCGCCGCCTCGCCCGCGATTCTCCGCCCAGGCCACCGTCAACCTCGACTCCCCGCCGCCACTCAACGACGACTGCAACGGATGCGAGTCGCCCTTCAGTCAGTTCAAACTGAAGCCCGTGAAGAAGCCGGCCAAGAAGCCCGCGGAGCCCGTGACGGTGCCAGATGTCGCTCTTAGGCGTCAGTCCCTCACCATCAAACTCGACGAGCCCAAGAAGCCCGCGGAAGAACCCAAGGTCCCCGTGGAAGAGCCCAATAATAAGAAGAACTCGATGGAAGTGCGGAAGAAGGCAGGTGACGAATCCCCGAAGAAGTCGGTGGTGATGGAAGAGCCCAATAATAAGAGGCAAATGATGGACGGGCGAAAGAAGTCTGCTGAAGAGCCCAAACGACAGACAGAAGTGCCCAAGAAGACGGTAGTCGGGCCCAAGAAGTCTGTAGAAGAGCCCAAGAAGCCTTCGATTCCTGCTAGTCCACCAGCACCACCACCACCGCCACCGCCGCCACCACCTCCACCAGCACCGCCGCTTCCACCCCAGGCATTTCCGCCACCGCCACCGCCGCCTCCTCCGCAACCACCCCCGATGAGAAAAAGTAAGAGACACTCGAGCAGTGAGATTTCCTGTGTGCATACGGTGCATAACGTAGAAAGGGGGCAAAACGTTTTGAAATGATGCGGCATTTTAGTGTAGGTCTATTTCCAACACACGCTGAGAAGATTATTACGCAAGATATTATTTATTGTTCTTGAGCTGAATGAAAAAAAGACCAATTTAAAATTAAACTAAAGGCTCTCTTATTCATGTTTGCTGAGCTTATAAAAAATTCGATAAAACGAGGCCTGCATGTTTAAAATTAATTCCTGGACGAATCGATGACCGCATTATAACCATGCCTCTTGATTGACCTTGAATGTACAGTATTTTACAATACTCTCACTGATGCCCCCATTTTTTGCAGCATAATGTACACGTTTTCCAGTCTATTTTACAACGTGATGTACTGTATATATTTTTCATGTGATTTAGTACTTTTTTTCTGAAGCCACGTGGCGTCTGTGATGGGGGATTTAAGAGCAGGCAGGAGATCTAAAATAAGTAGTGTGCCATACTCAAAAAATTATATATACTGTACAGCTCACGCGTTGAATAGATGAAGAAGTTAAAAGTAAAATTGACATTTGCTTTCAACGTTTTTGTCAGTATTGCTCTTCATGTTATCTTGGAATAGAATGCAATCGAAGATATCAATGGTACAAGGTTTTCAATCAAGCATATTTCCATACGAAAATTCATAGAATATAATGGAAAATCTCGTCTTTCATAATGCGGAAACTGAGTGATTTGATAGCTATTTTTCGGAACAGGTGCTTCCATCTACAGACACAGCAATATCGGTCCCCCCCTTAGTGATATGCCCAGATAAACTTGATTTAAATTTTGTTCAGAATGAATCCTATGACAGAAATTGTGAAATTAACTTTATTATGCTTGCAAATCTGGTATTTCTTGATTTTCAGCGATTTTTTGTGGCGCTACTGAAATATATTTGAAATCATTGCGTTGAATTCTGGGTGAGCTCGGAACAACGTGGTTCGGTTGCGTATAGTAATGTCGATTAAACTTCAGTAATGTTTTAGAATTGCGAAAAATTACTGAAAAAATATCCCAGGAAAAGTATTGTAACATGGTGCAGAAATCAACACCAATGCTTGAAATTCAGGTTATTGAGAGTGTTTTTGCGAGGTTCCCCCTTAAAAACATAGACTGTATCTTTTCCACCTTCTGCATGGAGGGCGTATTCGAAATCTTTTAACAGAAAATCCATCGAAACCAGCAAAAATGATTTTATATTCATTCAAAAGCTGTTGAATGAACGGGGTGGAAATGCCTGGAACGTTGAAATGTCTTCCCAAAAAGTATCTTCTTCAGGCTGCCATTCAGCAACATTTTTGTCTTTCAAAACAAGCTGTCATTACCTTATTTTTTTCCTTAATGGTCTGTCAGGATTTTCCTCTTCCCAAACACACTCCACTTCATTTTTCATTTAATGTGCTGCTTGAGTTTTCATTTTTTGAACATGTTCTTTCTCCGTGTCCAGTCAGCTGCCAGTCGGTCAATTGACGGTTGCACACCCGCCGGTCGTCAAGCGCCAGTCGGTCCAACCGCCAGCCAGGTCAGTTCTTGGCCTTGCCAATCCCCAGCCCACCAAACTGCGGTTTGGTCACCCGATTGTCGGGGCACCCAAACAATCAGGTGACAAGAATCATGCTCATTTTTTTCAGAATTCAGTGAGCAGAATGGTATCCTACCAAAGATTTTTTTTTCTTCAAAATTTCAGCAATGTCAGGTTAGGTTAGGTCAGGTCAGTTTATGTTATGTTAGTTTAGTTTAGGTTAGGTTAGTTTAGGATATGTTAGGTTGGGTTTGATAAGTTTTTTATTTTTGTGAAAATTTCTATAAGATGAAATTTTGTAAAAAAAATAATCTTTGGTAGGATACCATTCAGCTCACCAAATTCTAGAAAGGATCAGCATGATTCTTGTCACCCAATTGTTTGGGTGCCCCAACAATTGGGTGACCGGACCACAGTTTGGTGGACTGGGGATTGGCAAGGCCAAGGACTGCCCTGGCTGGTGGTTAGACTGACCAGCTCTTGACAACCAGCGGGTGCATGACCATCAATTGACCAACTGGCAGATGACCCGGTACCATACAGTGAGACCCCCAAATAGGGACACCTTGACATGAGGGCAATTTGACATAGGGACATTTATTTTTCAATAAAAATGGGATAAAAAGACCTGACATACAGAAACTGACTCAACATGAGGACATTGCATGATAAAATTTCAAATAAATTTCACAAAAATTGTCTTTTATTTGGCTTGATTGCAAGAAATAGATATTTCTAAGCATAATATTTATATGCAAAACAAATTCTTTGCCATTTCTCCCACCATTTTCCCATCCATTCAGCTAATTTAAAAAATTACCTATTGCATATAGAGGGACTTTCTTCTCTCTGTGTGACTTGAATTTTATTTTTGTAGATGCTGGCAGCATTTCAATGTACTATGTACAGTACGGAGATGCACTGTTCAATGCTCCAAATGTTCTTATTGATTTGAAAATATATTCACTGAATCAAATTTCAAGTGACAGAACATTTTTTTTCATGGAATTCTGAAGAATATTACTTTTATAAAGCACCAGTTAAAAATTAAATAATGTAAGTCCATGGGAAAACAAGACTCAACTTAGGGACACTCTTAATGCACCAATTAAGTCCTCATCTGGTGAGTCTCACTGAATACATATATACATATACAGTAAAGCACCAGTTAAAAATTAAATAATGTAAGTCCATGGGAAAACAAGACTCAACTTAGGGACACTCTTAATGCACCAATTAAGTCCTCATCTGGTGAGTCTCACTGAATACATATATACATATACAGTGAGACCCCCACATGCAGATGCCTCAACATGGGGACATTTATTTTTCAACAAAAAAATCATAAAAATGACCCAACACGAGGACACTGACTCAACCTTGGGACATTGCAGGATAAAAAATAATTTCCAAAATAAATTTTAGGAAAATTGATTTTTGTAATGCTTAATTGCAAGAAACAGATGTTTCCAACCTAAGATCTATGCAAAAAAAATTCTTTGGTACTTTTCCCATCATTTTCCCATCCATTCAGCTAATTTAAAAAATGCCCTATAGCACTGAGGGACTTCCTTCTAGCTCTCTTTGTGACATGGATGTTAGTTTTCCAGATGCCAACTTTTCGAATTACTGTACAGGGTACACTATTCAATGTTCCAAATGCTCTTATTGGTTTGAAAAGATATTCATTGAATCAAATTCAAGTGGAAAAAATTTTTTTCATGAAATTCTGAAGAATATTTTTTCCATAAAACACTGATTAAAAATTTTACAATGTAAGTCTATGGGAAAACAAGATTCAACTTGGGGACAATCCGACATCGGGACACTCTTGATGCACCAATTATGTCCGCATCTGGGGGTCTCACTGTATATATATTTATTTATTTATTTATTTTCCATTGTTGCAGGAGGATGTTCCCCACGTTCCAAGTGCGCCTGCACGGCATGGAGCTGGACGCCGAGTACCTGCTGATGCTGGACTTCGTGCCCGTGGACGACAAGAGATGGCGCTACGCGTTCCAGTCCTCGTGTTGGGTCGTGGCCGGGAAGGCGGACCCGGCCAGCCCACCCAGACTCCACTTCCACCCCGACTCCCCGTGTTCCGGGGCCCATTGGATGAAGCAAGTGGGTTCGTTCGACAAGCTCAAGCTCACCAACAACCAGCTGGACGAGAACGGCTACATCATCCTCAACTCCATGCACAAATTCCAGCCGCGGTTGCACGTGTTGGTGCACGAGTCGCCCCCGGGCTACAGGGCCTTCAAAACCTTCGTGTTCCCCGAGACCCAGTTCACGGCTGTCACGGCCTACCAGAACCACAGGATCACGCAGCTCAAGATTGCCTCCAACCCGTTCGCCAAGGGGTTCCGGGACTGCGACCCCGAAGACTGGTGAGGATGATACATCCCGCTCCATCACTTCCTTCCTTCCTTTCTTCCTGTCGTCCTCTCGTCCCCGTTCCTTCATTCTGTAGCTCGTTTGTCACACTTGCCAAGGAATGCTCAAGACAATGCGGCTTTTGTGTGTGAGGGGGTGACGGTGGGTGACACACGAATTTCCAGCTCTTATTGAATAAAGAAAAGGAAAAAACAACCCCACGAGAGTTGATTCACGCGCTATTAATTCAGTTGCATGTTCAAAATTTTTTTTTTATAAATTCAATTGCACAATTAATCTTGACGGAAGATGAGACCGAATGAAAGAAAATAACGTGAAAAAGCGTAGCTTTATGATACAGTAGTTGAACTTTTCTAAGTAAAAATTTCAAGGGACCAGCAAAAAATCGACGTAGGGAGGTTTTGACTTTAGGGAGAAGTGAGTTATAGATGCTTGAGTTATGGAAACAAGCATAGAAGAATTGCACTAAATTGTAAATGCTGATATTCTGGGCCTTAAATTGTTTCTAAAAATTAGTTGAAAGGTTGCAGAATTTTGAGACAGGGGTTCATTGGCACAATTTAGTCTGTCACATCCTTTCAAAATACATAAAATTCCAATTCATAAAGAAAAAATAAATAAAAGGCCTCAGAAAAATCGACTTATGGGGGTTTTTAAATGCATTGTTTCCAATGGAATCCATCATGGACTTGAAAAGAAATTGACTTGGGTAGGTATTTGACCAATAGGGAGGTTTGACTTATTGAGGTTCAGCTGTATTTCCCAATTAACAACAAGTCTCTGCTGGTACCTATTGGATAAAATGGGATAATTCTCTGCATTTGCAAGCCAAAGCCTCCTGTGATCATTCATTAATAATGATAATAAAAGTTTCTTAGAGAGGAAAAAAAATTTTTTGCTTAAAGGCTGATGCCATTTTAATGGCATACATTTATTTTCTGAGTTGGTGTTTATTTTCCGGGTGTAATGATGTTCTGGCGATGTATATTATGCACAAAAAAAAACAATAAAAAACAGAAAAATCCATGATTTCGCCATTTATGTTTCGTAAAAGGAGGAAAAAGCTTGTATTAAATTTTTAAATCTGTGAAGTCTGAGTTTTATGTACTGAGTTTTATGTGACTTATGATGGCGCAATTCAAATATTCAAAGCATTTGGTTCCGAATCATTCCTTGCCTTTTATGCCATTTTGTGTAGGTGTCCCTTGTATTTTGTCATAATTTTCTTCACTTGATCTGCGTGATTATTGCTGGGTATTGAATTGTTTCAGCTGCAACAGTGTATAAATCATGTACCTCAAGTATACTTGCCAATTCTTCGGAATCAAAGGTAATTTTCGGATATTGTTGCGTTATTGGCATTCCTTTTTTAGTAAAATAAATGCACTGCAATAAGTACATTCAAAGGTTCTGCATTAAGTGAATTGAAGATTCAGTGCAATAAAAATAATATCAAAAATAATTCTGCATTACAGCACAGTACAGTATACCGTATTTACTCAAGTACCACATGCAGCTTTTTTCCCAAATTTCAGAAGAGAAAAAGGGGTGTGCATCATAAGCAGGTACAAAATTTTCAAGAAGTTTTAGGAAGTTATACTAAAATTAGCATTATACTTAATTACAATGGAGAAATTTGGAACAAATATAACAAGAAAACATTTTTGTACTGAAAAAGTTGAAAATTTATCAGATATTTGTTCAATTCACGCCTCAAGTCAATTTTTTTGCTTTTATTTTTGAAATTTTATGGTTATAGATTCACTGAAAATTGGGCTTTGCGTCTTACTTGGGGATAAGATTTTTGCAAAATTTTCAACTGAAAAACCCCTGTGCGCGCCTTACTTGAGGGCATGTGGTACTTGAGTAAATAGGGTACTACTATAGGAGCCATGCATTTTGGAAAAGCAGATCTATTGTTTTTAGGCTTACATCTTATAGAGTTTGATTGCTTTGTAAAAAAAAATGGGGGAAGGTTTAATGGATGGAGGATCTCAACCTTCGTAGTTGAAAAAAAGAAAGTAAACTTACCTATACCATGTGATCCAAGAAAGACTTTTCAAATTTTTAAATATTTTTTTTCTTTATTCTTCGTGGTGAGGCAACCAGGTGTTGAAAATGAACCATCGCAAGGATGCCATTCACTTGAAGCTTGACATCTGTCTACTTTCAGTAATATGCCATACATGCTGGGTTATTTAATCCGGGTTTGATACAAGGGTCCGGATCAGATGCGATAATTAGTCAGCGTGGTTGGATTACATCAGGAAAATAAGTAACGTAATGCCTGGATTCTGTCAAAACAATTGGGTAAAACGTCTTTCGGAACGGAAAATCACTTTTTTTTCTCTTTCATGCTCTGTGTGTTGACATTTCAGACACATGTTCCCACATCTGTTTAAATTGATGCGACGCTCAAATTTAATGAGTCAAACATTTTGAAGCTTTTCTCTTGGAAGACGCCAATCGGGGACAGGCGTGATTCTCAAATTTTGAATACTTCTTAACCCTCTGAACTCTAAATTTAATCAAGTATTTCGAAAGTTTGCATTGAATTATAAACCAGGAGCTTGAAGAATTCTGTGTCCATTTAAAGCCGAGCTGCATATTTAATGGCGATTGTATGATATACCACTTTTTATCGTTCAGAATGAACGATTAATAATCCATGGGAAAGAAAAGTTTTCGCATTAGAAATTTGCTGCTATTTGAGATTGTGCAGGAACAATGAAACATTGAAGATACTGCATTTATGAAAATACAGTAACTGGATATGTAGCTGCTTTTTTTGTGTCAAATTTGCTGGCCGAAAATCTCTGCCGTTCGCGAAGTTTAAAAATATTTGGGTGACAAAGCTGCTGAGGAGAAAAATTTGCAAAGCGATGCAATATTTTTGCTCTGTATGAAAGTCTTTACTCTCTTTCGAAAATAAAAAAAACTTTAAATAACCCGCACACACAGCAACCATTTTCGTAAAAATTGAAAATAAAAACACAAGGTTTTCTGGAAATCTGACATGAATCTTGAAATTAATTTTAAACAACAGACAGTTCGAGATTTCTCGAAAAATCGACAGGAACCTCTGAGTCTCATTTCAAGAAATCCCCTTTAAAAGTACAGTAAAAATTTTTAAAAATTACACGCAAAGTTCTCCTTTCAAAATTTCTGCGAGAAATGTTCCAAATGTTCACTGGAAATCTTTTCTACATTATGTGTTGTAATTTCTAGTTTGTCCTACTGCAGTTAGTTACCGTAGTTAATCCCCGTGTTTCAAATCCAATCTAATATCGTAGAAACGAATTATTAATTGATTATTTTACAAGAATCAAAGTCCCAGAGGAGGAACTTTATTATCCGGGATTTTGTACTGCGTTCGGTCAACTGTGCAAAAATTTTAGCCACAAAAAGAACAATCACGTATATAATGAAATTGCAAAGAATATAGCATGAAAATCTTGAATATTTCATCACAATCCTTTAATCATTGGCTCCATTTCTGCTGATTCTGTATCATTATCAGTTGCTGATTTTCCTCTTGCAAACGTGGCATTTTTTTACTTCAAAATTTCCCTGACTTCGGAAAAACTTCGTGCTAGCAGAAATATCATCCGAGTCCATTGATTGAGATTTTCAGTTTTATTAAACAAACTTCTTGACGAAATTACCAACCGCGTCTCTGTGGCTGAGTGTCTTTTATTGTGTTTTGATTTTTTTTCTCCATCTCGAAAGTAAGTTTTTTTTTTGTGCATCAAGACAGACGGATATGAAATTAAAATAAAGGAAATTGCGCACATGTGCTCTTGAATGAGTGTCAACAGCCAAGCATCAAAACATCAGCTTTACAAATCCCTCCCCCCCCCCCCTCCTGCTTCTCGACACGTGGCGACACTTAAACAGCGAGAGATGCGTGGGAAAAAAATTTGTCAACAAGTGTTAAAGTGTGGCTGATTCGGTTTCAGCGTGGCTGAGGTGTTGAGTCAGTTGCAGCAACAGCAGCACCACCACCAGCAACAGCAGCAGAACCACCAGCACCACCAACAACAACAGCACCACCATCAGCAGCAGCAGCAGCAGCAACTCCACCAACAACAACAACAACAGCAACAGGTGTCTGCACGCTGGGGGATTCCACCGTCGTCGTCGTCATCCTCATCAGCAACGACGACGGGGCCGTCAGTGACGTTGCATCAAACCCTGGCAACGGTGGCGGCGGCCATGGCGGCGCAAACGTCTTGCGCAGCAGCGGCGGCGGCAGCAGCGGCAGCAGCCGCCGCCGCCGCCACGTCGTCGTCGACAGCGACGACGTCCGCTGCGTCCCCGCCGTCATCGACAACTTCTTCTTCTTCGTCGTCGTCTTCGGCTTCGTCTTGCGCGTCATCGACAGCAGTGTCGGACAGCAAGCACCAGCACCAGCAGCTCCAGCACCAGTCGGAAGAAATGAAAGGTGAGTCGGGGTCCTCTTTGTCCATATAAACACTCGGCCGGCCTTTTTCAACGGGATCCGTTGATTCGGGCTCTGTAAACACGACGGGGTCGCTGGGCAAACACAGCGTGGCACTTGGGTGCGGGTGTGTGGGGGTGGGTATACCGAGGAGGAGAAACCTGCGAGGAATATCCCCGGACAAACATCATGACGGCGTCGGTGTCGGGGCGGGGAATCCCTGCTGTCGTGTCGTTACATGCTCGTCAGGGCGCCGGTGTTGGGGAAAGAGAGAGAGAGAGAGAGAAAAAAAGGAAGAAAAGGGAGAAAACTTTGCTCGGGGTTTTTCTGACTTGATCCTCGCATCTGCGTCGGGTCTCGACAGGGCATGCCTAATTGAATCCTGATGCGCCACTTGGGTTCATTAAGGCTCATCTTCGTCTCTCCCACGAAGGGGGGGGACCCGAGAGCAAATGCGTCTTCAATTACCCGTTCAGTGAGCGTCGCATTCCGGCATTTCATGCTAAGGACTCACTCACTCACTTACGGAATATAGACCCGCGGAGAAAAAGCCAGCACAGTCCTCAGATCTTTCTTTTTTGTTTCGTTTTTTTTTTTTCATTGTGTGTGGGGTTTTTTTGTTTTGTTTCTGTAAGTCAACAGCTTCCCTTGGGTGGAATTCTCACTGCGGTATTCATTTTTACAGGAATAATTACAGTGAGACCCCGAGATGCGGATGTAATCATTGCATCAAGTGTGTTCCTAAGTTGAGTCTTGTTTTCCCATAGACTTACATTATATACATTTTAATTGGTGCTGTTTTATGGGAGAAATATTCATCAGAATTCAATGGAAAAAATTGTCTGCTGGTTGAAATTTATTCCGTGATTATCTTTCAACTAAATAAAAATGTTTGGAGCTTTTAATACTTTACCTCTGATCATTAAATTGAAATTTTGGCAACTGTAAAAATGATATTCAAGTCACAAATAGATAAGGAAGTCCCTCTATGCTGGAGGTATTTTTTTCAATTCACTGAATGAATGGGAAAATGATGGGAAAAATATCAAAGAACTTTTCTTGCATATATACAGATCTTAGGCTTGGAAATATCTGTTTTGTGTAATTAAGCCTGATAAAAGTAATTTTTTTCCTGAAACTTATTGGTGATTTTATCATGTAATGTCCTCATGTTGAGTCAATGTCTGCAAGTTGAGCCTTTTTAATGCATTTTTTATTGGGAAATAAATGTTCCTGTGTCAAATTGTCTTTTTGTTGAGGTGTCTGCGTCTGGGGGGGGGGGGGGGGTCACTGTACTATGCAAGAAATATGATCACAGTTGAACCCGCTGAAAGAAGAAAAAAGTACTGGATTTGCATAAGCATATATTCCCACACAATGTGAGTCCTAAATGCTTTAAAATCAATGAGCCTGATGAAATTTGTTGTAGCAGGATTCATAACAGTAATACTGTACTGTATTCTTATAATCATAATACGGGAATTTTTATCCAGACAAATTACTGAAGGTCGCAGTGGCTAAGAACAGGACTTTTCAACCTCTTTGCCAGGTTGCATTTGTAAAACTTTCAACAATTTCGAGAAGTAACATTTGTTGTGTACCCACAACTTAGTTATACTGAATAAATAAAGTATGGTTTGGTAAAGTACCCATTTCTCACTTTATGCAGTACAAGAACTTCATTCAAGTCCCTGAATGATTTCCAGTCAAAATTTCCATCAATAATGTCCCAAGTTGTTGTTACTTTTTCCGCATAATCTGGTAAAAGCTAAGCTTAATCTTAGTACTTTTAAGTACCTCATGCCATCAAATAAGTTGCGCGCTTTTTTTTGTAAAACCCGCACACCAGTTTTTGTTGTTTCTAAAATTTATTTTAAACACACTTCTTTGTACTAGAATAAAAAATTTTAGTGTTGAAATGGAAATTATATTGTTTTACCCCTCTGAAAAATCTCTTCTTATTGAAATTGTCTACATACGCTTCACTCATAAATCGTTCAAAACCCTTACAAAAAAGTTTATATCATGATTTATAACGACTTGTTTGCAGAAATAATTCGAACCTGAACTTTTCGCAACACTCATTATGACTAAAGTAATTTTTAGCCAAGATCACTTCGCCAAAAAAAATCGAATACTAAGAGGGATATTTTTATTAAATGCCGTAAATGTTTAGGGTATATACAGTACTTTCAAAAGTTGAAACAGCGTATCAACGTTTTTTTCTGATGACGAAAATTCTTTTTATCATCGAAATACATTTTGTTCTTCTATTTTTGGACAAGGTCTTTCGTCCTATAGTCTGTACATAAATGGTTTTGAAAATTCTTGGAAACATTTTATACCGTTCATCAGATCCCATATGATTTTTGCCGGAAGTGAACAGGCAATTATTCAACTTTTACCTGAAAAAAACGTGGCGAATTCGATTAATTTTTTCTTTGAATTTTCGTCTTTGGTTTTGGAATTTGAAACGTCTTCCTAAATAAGATATAAAAACTCGTTGGCGAGAAGGCGAAACTGTAGAAATATTCTGACAACACTGCCTTTTTTGCGGATTCGATGGTGCTTTTCGCTTTATATTTTTATAGCTGGATTTTTTGTAAACGATGAAATCGGGTTTTTGATCGCTTTAATCGAAGAAAATGACACCGTATTTTTGAAGATGGAATGAGGCTGAATTGTTGAGAAAATCGTGCGTTTCTCTTCGCGGAAATTTCGTATTTGAATGCAGTAATTATTTATTCCTTTTTTTTTTAATTTTGTTTGTTGCGCAGGGTTGTCAGAGGATATCCAGTCCCCCGCCCGAGATTCTCGTCGCCAAGAGCTTTCCCTGCACCGACCAGAACCCGTATTTTCCAGCGCGGAACCCGCGGAAAAGGGCGTGTTTCCAGACCTGCAGCTCCAACTCCCGCAGCAACAGGGCCTCTACCCGTACATGCACCAGCAGTGCGACCAACTCCAGCAACCCCCGCCTTCACTGCCGCCACCACCGCCGCCGCCGCCGCCGCCATCATCGGCGCCCCAGCAGCAGCAGCAGCAAATGCCCTACTACATGGAGCCAGACGTGATAGCTGCCGCCGCCGCCGCAGCGGCAGCCGCAGGACACCATCAAGGGGGCGGGGCATCGTCCGTCCACCCCCATCACCAGCACCACCACCCGCATTTGCACCACCCGTACCAGGCCAACGCCTTCGCCGCCGCTGCTGCTGCTGCTGCAGCTGCTGGCAACTACCACACCCACCACCATCACCACCACCATGTCCAAGCCCGGTCTGCTGCGGCTTTGCACTACTACGACCAGCATGGGTACCACGGCCGACAGTGATGTCATCGTCACACTCGTTTGTTTGCTGAGCCACGTTGTGACAGTGTGCTGTGTGTGCTGTGATGGACGACGGACGGACGGACGGACGACCCGCGGCTCGCTTCCGAGAGGAAAAAAAAGAAAAGATTTTGTTTTTCTGCGTCGTTTTGTTTTTCTCGTTTTTTTTTTTTTTGAGTGTGCATTTCCTATATGACTCGACGGAAATGAACGTGCTTTCAGTATACTGGTATAGTTCCTTGGCCCCTGTTGCGTCTCTCGACTGATACAGTGTGGGTCCCCCGCATTATACAATACAAAACTCATCCCTTCCAGGTTTTTTTTCTTTTGTTAAATTTCTATTATGCAGAAATTGTGTCACGCAGAAGAACCATTCCCTAAGAAATACTATGAAAAAATGTAGTTTGTTCCCATGACCATGACTTTGATCAGGATAAAGTTAATTTGATCAATTGACAGCAGGGTGGACCAAAAAAAGTGAACCGATTTTTGATTTAAAATAGCTTGGTAGCAAAGTAAGCTGTGGCAATGAAAAAAAAATACTGTACATTAAATAAAAGCTTGCTCAATTGCCTTTAAAATGATATGAAGCCTTATGTGTGGCGCACAAGCCACAAATAAAAATAAAAATGAAATTAAATTATGAATTTTGATGAATGAAACACTTGGTCTGCTGGGGAACACGGCAGGGAGCCCTTTGGTATAAGGACTCCAAAGAGTAAAGAACAAATGTATTTTGAAAATAGCAAAGAATAAATGCACTGACAAAATAACAGGGAAGTGATGTGGACAATTTGCAAGGAAAAGCGGGGCTGGGAGAATATTGGGCTCAAAAATGGAGGAGGGGAGTCAATTGTGCAATTGTGGAATTCCCCCTTGGAGGTTTTTCAGGTGTGTTGGAAGGGAGGGGGTTGCGACATCTGTGCCTTACATTATGGTCCCAACTCACAAGTGCCAATAAATGGCATGGTCACAAAGTACCATTTCCATGAAAACTTTCCACAAAGAAGAGTTGTCAGGCAACTCTTTCCACTGAGCTGCTCTTCTCCAGAGCTGTTTTTAGAGATAAATGGGGTGCAGGGCCAATATTTTAATCAGCAAACTTAATGCTGTCTTCAAGAGCGTTCCCAAAATTTTGGAGGTGGGGATGAGAAGTGCAAAAAATAAAAAAATTAAAAATTAACTGAGCAGTGGGATGTTGCTCCACTCCTGAATACTGATGCAAGCTTGCTGGGTTCCAACCTCACAGCTCCTGTGAACCCTGTGCATTCAAATTTGTTTGGGGTGACTGGATTGGTCAAAATAGGTTTCACTTATCAATATTCACTATCTTCAGCGATTGCTTTTGACATCAGGGGTTAATTTTCAATAAGTTCCTATTTCCTGATCATCACTAACAGAAGTAATCAGAAAATACCAAGTCATCAAAATGGGAATGCAAAATTCACTGATGCAATTCAAAATGCACCATATTAAGCAGCATAAATCCACCTGACCATTGTGATTAATGAGTGAAATCGATTTGGAGCAATCCAGTCATTTGTCACATTCTAGCATAAAAAAAATTCACTCCACAGGTATTAAAATAAGTTATACTGTACAACAATATCATACATTTACAAAAGCATTTGCAAGTAATGAATGCTCTTTTTTAATAGTTAAAGTTCAAGTTTTCAGAATGAAATGGTAAACAAAGGTGTACTTGCGCTTCTGTATTCATTGTTCTTGACCTGTTTGGTTGAATTCAAATTATATTTCTTGTTCCTTTTTTCATTTTCTGTGAGAATCGTAATGCTTGAAGTTGATCCTCACACAGATGTCGCCACTCGACAAACATTTTCTACCGTTCAAATTAGTTCATGTGTTTACTATGAAGAGAGAGAAAAAGCATGGAAGTATCAATAAAGGAAAGATAAATAAAAATAGATTGTAACTCAGGAAAAGTCTGGAATAAAGTACTCCGCAAACAAAAAATTATGTATTGGACATGTTTTATGTTAGGCATTGCTTTTATTTATTCCTGCCTGAGAATTTTATTGAGCAAAATTTTCATTATTCAGGCTGGTTACTATGCAGGGAAGCTCCATAGGAGGATACATAGCCAATTTTTGCACTCTTCTGATATCCAATGCAATGCAATGTAAATTCTTGAAATATATTGTTACATGAAAAGTTATTGGGACCTCATTGGGACTGGAATTTTTTTGTATTTACACTCAAATACAATTTTTGGCTACCTTGATGGGAAATTAAACAATCTTTAAAGGATTTTCTGTAACTAGAATCTACAAGTATCCCAGCACCATAGTGAAAAATAGTTTTGTTAATTATAGTCTCAGATTAATCTAGAAGAAGCCCATGAATAGAGTAAGACAAACTTCTGTTTAAAATTCGAGAGAAATCAAGAGAAATGCTCAATTTACTCATTTTTCAAGATCCAGAGCTTGTTGAAATAAAAGGAAGAGATAGTTTATTACGTTACGTGTGACGACACAAACTTGGAAAGACTCCAAAGGCAAAATATTTTGACTGGAGCAACCGGAAATCTTGCAAAATTATTTCAAGTTTGAAGCATCAAATCCCTTGGCTTCTTGCAAAGAATTGTGCAATCATTTCAAAACTGCTTTTATAAGCGCAAATAAACTGGAATTTCTCCCAGTTAAGATTGTCGGGCGTTTTGAAAGGTAGCTTTTTATTCTGTTCCTCAACAAATCTGCATTCTGGAAATTTTTAGATGTTTCTTTCAATAAAATTGTTTCTTTGTTGCTGAATTACTTCCTTGACATTCCAACAGCTTCTCAAATGCAATTAGCATATATGTATCTGACCCTAATATGTTTCTGGACTAGGGTCAAATTGCAAGGTACCACCTGTAATCCCAAAAAAAAATTCTGCGGAAGCCAATATTTCCTGATGAGGGCTTATGTTCAATAATTAAACTCAATTCATTTCAGAGGTTACAGAATTAAATTTTGCAACACATCTGGGCTGTTTTGGGGAAGGGTTAGTTGAATTGCATTTTCAAAGAAAATATACATGAATCTTGATTGCTGAGATTGTGGCAAAAATTGCCAACAATGTGAATGCATTGGTTTGTAAAAGTGTGTCTCAGGGAAAACAAATATATGGAATTTAAAAAATCTTTCTCAAATCTCTTGAAATACGAAAGGTAATAAAGTACCTGTTGAATACACAGTATTATAAATCAAGTGGACCCCATTTGAAAAATCTTGACATATTTGTTATTTTACATTTCACTCCTTGTGTCAAAAAGGATCGTGACACATTAATCATGGGTGAAATTTGTTCGCTTTTCTGTATAACACATTCTAAGTAGGGCTATTCTTTTGAATTTTGACTGACGACATGATATTCTCATGAATATGGCAAAGAAAAATGCATTCCAGGAAATATTAACGAGGAAAACCAAGATATTCATAGCACAGGGATATTTCTTCAATCGACTGCTTGTTTTGTTTCCTATCAGTTATCTCTGGGATCGAGTCCGGGATGTTTGTCCACCTGAGCATATATTCTAGAAACGACTCATCCAGCGCATAAAAAGTCATTTCCCATATTTCTCCATGGCAAACTCTACAACAACAAAAAAAGAGAAAAGTTTTCTTCAAGAGAAGAAAAAAAACTATTTATTTGAAAAGGTAGGGCGTTTTCCTCTTACGCATTCGACCGTTAGTCGTGCCAAGTTTGCCTATATACGCCTCAACTTGGCGTTGGGGAAATAAAAGTTTCCATATACATACGGTATTGACATGGCAATTAGTGGGACCGCAGTGTGTTTTGGGGCTTGGGTGTTTGTAGCATTTTGCCCTGATCCCGGGCACACGGGCCGGGGTGAGAGGTTCTGGTTGCGACCCGATCCTTCCTTGAAGCGAACGAACCTCGGGTTGGATCCCATCGAAAGCGAATGGAGACAAGCAGTGGATTTCCTCAACAGGCTTGAACCCAAGAGCAGCTTGGAGTGCAACAAGATGCAACATGCGAGTTGGGTGTACGAAAGCAACATGACTGAGGCAAACCAGGAAGCTCTCGTGAGAAACACTTTCCCCCCCCCTTTAATTCCGTGTTGATTATCAATTTTACCGTATTTGAATTAACATGGACTGAATGCAGTGAAATTTCGTAGTTACAACGAACCCCGCGGGCACCTGAGAAAAAAAAACAGTCATCTATCTTCTATACTAATAAAGTTACTAACTTCCCATCACACCTGTCCCTCCCTTCCTATACTTTCAGCATAGGATTTTCTCCCTCCCAATGGCATACAAAAGTTAGCAGTCATTTCCATGAGGTTTTCTGTGGCCCCAAAAGAAAAAAACGCATGGTGGAGTGAATCTGAGGAAGAGGTCTGGGTTCAATCCTACCCCCTGGCACATTTTTTTTCTAAAATCATTTCCTATTTTTAATCAAAACTTGCTCAATTTTCAAGTTATTTCAGCCAAAAAAATTGTAAATTTGTAGAAATGCATTGCACATTCAACAAAAATTTAACAATTTGAATTGCTCCAAAACATAAAATGTTATGATGATTTTAACTTGAAAGTTGGACTTTTTTTCGTTTCCAGATGTATTGACTTTTAAAAAGTTTCATTAATTCAATTTTGATTCAATTTTCAATTTTCTTGCATTATTGCAAGTGCACAGATGTTTTCTAAATCTCCTTTTTTTTACTTTTGAAAAATGTATACAATTGACTAAGATACAATGAAAAATACAAAAACATTTTATAAAAATCACACAAAAATCTACAAAATACAATTTGTTTTTTTTAAATAAATATCTCAAACAGGGCAGTTTTGATGTTCTTGTCATCATCACCCACATGTTTTGAAGATGACATTGAACCCGAACGTTTAAAAAGATGCCATGCGAAAACACATCACCTGACTTCGACTTTTAATATTCGCCGCAGTATTTGCACGCATAATAATAGACCCGCCAGACAGTTGTCACGACAAATCACATTTGCAAACCATCAAAAACATACTGTGTTTATTGACGCATACGAAATGAAAAAGAAACAATAATATGTGAGCAAGAAAACGTAATTAATCTGATTTTTTGGAATATTGCCTTTGCCCTGCATAGCTATACCTAAAAATAGCACAAATAATTGTCAAGACTTTTGATTCGTTTTTTTCTGTGGTATTTGCATTCAACATTTCAATTTTAAAATTAGCCATGGAGTCCCGAAATCAAGTGTGCTCGCATGAATGCACAGTTTTTGACAAGTAATTCTTTAACGCAATCTGGGTTGGTCAGCAAAATTACTGGTTGTTCGCATTCTTTTTTATTCCGTCATGGGTCCAATTGAATGCTCGGATCAACCGAGCTGGTGTCATGAAAATGAAATATGACTAATGCAGAAAATCCGTTTCANGGGTAGGTTGTAGTGTAGGGTAGGTTGTAGTGTAGGGTAGGTTGTAGTGTAGGGTAGGTTGTAGTGTAGGGTAGGTTGTAGTGTAGGGTAGGTTTTAGTGTAGGGTAGGTGGATGGCCATGGTACAGTAGTCTGTTGGGTATTTTACTCATATTACCACACATTGCCCAGGTGTGGCTGGGCACCCTCCCCTAGTCACAAATAAATGCATTAAATAATGGAGACCCACTGTTTTCAAAAACTTTAAGACCAATAGATTGGAAAAGATACTGGTTAGAAAAATGTGAAATGGTTCTAAAACAAATAAGTCAATACATGTGATATAATCTTTAAATCTCTTCAAAATGAGATTACGCAAAATTCAAAAGTATTTACTGTAATTCTCTCATATTGAAATTTTCTTTCTACTAATTTGCTGTTTGCCTGCTAAAAATAAAATATTTCAAAATTATACGTGTGGGAGAAATACTTTGTTCAAAATTAGCTCATTCATTCATAACAGTTTGTTCAGAGGAATTTTCTTTCCGAAGTCATATTGTATTTTAAGGAAAGGAAAATATTCCCAGATGGTTGGGGAGCTGGTAAAACATTTTCAAGAAATATGGAACGCTGTGTATTTTCTAGATAGAAAGATATGATTTTTGGTGGATTCTTACTTATTCACAACTCACAAGTTCGACAGATTCCGTATTTCTATAAGAGCAGCTGGTGAGGACCTTTTTCTGATTGAGAAAATGCATTGCTTTATTTTTTATTATTCAAAAATATTTAATCAAGAACCCAGCTATGCCTTTGATTTTAAAAATGCCCTTTGATTTTCCAGGTGAAATTAGGGGTTGAGAATTTCCTCTGCAGAAAAATAAATTAACAATCCCAGAGAAGTGATTCCAAAACGTTTTTCATGAGATGAAGGCTTTGGTATTCTACTAGTATTCCGAAGAAAAGCTGAGCTGGAAATTCTGTTGTGGTTTACAAGTACTGTATATCCTGATTTTATTGTAAAATTTCATTAGAATCAAACAATTTGATACATGCAGTACTACAAAAATACCAAGCATGTGTTTTGGCTTTGAGTTTAAAGATGGATTCAATGATTTTTCCAAGTTTACAGCAATGGAAAACGGAATATGGATAATTCAAGGCTGACAATGCGAGACTGGGCAATTTGAGACAAACACGTTTAGACAGAGCCAATTTGAGACATGGTAATTTAAAGACAGGTAAAATTAGTGGCAGCAAAACTGAGATCCAGCCTTCCCATTCATTTTCCCCTTCATTCTCTATAGTTATCGTAAACTGCCGGATTTAATAAATGTCCCAATGCTATGCAAGAATGTCTTCTGCGCTTTGTAGCATCTTAACTCTCATCCAATGATTTCTGTCAGGACAATCCTTTGTCAAGAAGTATTTAGTCTTTATGGGCAGAGTAAAGCAAGTGAGACAACTCCTCTCTTAATCCTATAGCATACATTTTGTACCATACACAACAACAGTCCAGACCAGCAATGAGCACCAAAAGAGTGTTTGGACACTCCTTTATAGACTTTGGATGCACAAGACAGGTGACTGACTGCGCATGAATATAAGTAAACAGAAATTAAACCGGGACAGGTGAATGACTGGTTGCCAGACACTGTTGCAACATTCTGGTACACCAATTCCGGTGCCCTGCCATGCAGAACTTAACGCATGAAACTCAGTTCAAGAATGGGGTATTATTAACCTGTTTGAGGACTCACTAATGTTATGGTGACACTCTTCTTGGACTTTTTAAAACCAGTATAATGTATAATTCATCACATAATCTTTATCATAGAATAAAATTGATCAAAATGGATCCCTTGCTTTCAAAGAATGAAAGCAAGGGAAAGATTGTTTTTTAAATGCCAATCACAGTAAAAATAAAAATAGAGTTGTGAGTTCAAACATATATAAAGGTATAAGAAATAAAATTATTGGAGTTCCATTTTTACAAGTATTTGCCCATATCACCCAAATTTTTTTATGTTAGTCCAAACATTTCTGTCTTGAATAGTCTCTGTATCAAAATGTTGATGTCTTTAATTGTTTCTGTCTCAAGTTGACCGTGACTCAAATGAACCCAGTGTCAAACAGTCTGCCTCAAATTGCACTAGTTCCTTGAATAAAAAACGGATTATTGCCTTGTTCAGTTTGCAATCCTTGACATTACAAAGGGGCACACTTTTTTGTCTTTAGTCGTACTCAAAAAAAAAGTTATATCAGCATGTCATGAATGTAAATGCAGTATTTTCAATGTGGGTCGAGTCTGACATGGTTTTCATCCATTTTCAGCACGAGGTGGACGCAGCTAATGCAGAATATGACCAGCAACTCATAACGGGACTGAGAAGTGCATTCCACTCCAAAGGACCTTTTCCGCATTGGGAGGATTACGCCAGCTCAACACAGAGGAGGATCAGGCTCATGACGGAGTCCATGGGATCCTCTATTTTGCCTACAGATGAGGCCAACCGGGTGAGGGTTTCCTATGCATGCCATGCAGCAAATAATTCCAAAGACGTGGTTCATAAATCTTGAGACTGCAATGTAATGCTGGTGAATGAATGAACAGAACACTTTATTTGCCGCTTTTCAGCATTCAAAAGGTTCAATCAAGATTTCTACAACCACACCCCCTTCCCACCCAACCCAAATCCGCTCAATGACATTTAATAATCACTTCAGAGTAGGAAAGCAGAAATTGATAACAAAAATAAAAGAAAATACAATACAANCTGTGTACTTTGAGTACAAAACAGCAATGTTTGCATTTTTAACCGTTTTTTAAAAGATGTCCTTTTTTCAGAGGGTAATTGCTGCAGTTGTAAAATGACCCGGCGCCCGGGCGCCGGAAACAGTGTCTCTTTGTTCCATAAATGGGGAGGATGCCGCATCAAATAAAAGCAGCTATCCTCCCCAAAAAACGCCCGCAATAAAAAAATTTCCGGTTCTGCCTGTTGTCCACAAAAAAAATTCGACTTAGGGAGGTTTCCCAGGAATTGCTTCGAGTTAGGGAGGTTTTTTTTACATTATTCTCTAAGGGATTGGAAGGGGACTGGAAAAAAATTCGAGTTAGGGGGGTTTTCGACTTAGGGAGGTTCGACTTATGGAGGTTGGACTGTATATCAATTTCAAATTATTGCAAGCGAATTGATTGGTATTCAAAAGCATTAAAAAGCGCCGAGCGTTTTCAAAAAACTGCCAAAAATTAATAACCCCATTTCCTTTTTTCTTTTATTTTTTCAGTACCGAACGATTCTGTCGACGATGGAAAAGATACACGCAACGGCAACGATTTGCCACCCTGGAAAGGGACCATGTGGACTTCCGATGGATCCCAGTTGGTTGAATCCGATCTCCTGCCCAAATTTCAGATTTACTGAAATCATTTCGCGAATTTGTTCAACAGATATCACAGAAATTATGGCAACTTCCAGGGACCACAAAGTTCTGACTAAGGCGTGGCAATCGTGGAGAGACGCCACCGGAAAGAAGCTGCGACCATTCTACTTGGAATTCATGGAGCTTGAAAACAAGATTGCCAAACTAAACGGTATTGAAATTCGAAAATTTATATCTTCACCTGAGAATTCAAAGACGTCAACAGGACTTCAATTAACTGTAATTTTCACTTATACAAATTTCGCGGTTTTATTGCAGTGGAAAACTATTTTAGAAGAGTTTGATTTTGTTCCTGACTTTCTTCTTTCATGATTTATGGTAATTTCTGAATACAATACAGCAACTGAGTTTTTCCAATTTCTCATGTATGATTTCATCAACAGAAATGTATTCCCTTATATATTTGAAGTCAATATACGGCGTAAGAATACTGATAACTGAATTTCGCGCGGAAATCAGATATTTTTCAATATACAGTACAGTATTTAATGAACATGACTTTCCAATCGTAGATTTTTCGGATGCTGCGGAAATGTGGACAACGAAATACGAGTCAGAAAACTTTCAAAACGAAATGGAAACGGTTTGGCTGGAAATCGAGCCTTTGTATAAGAAAATCCATTCTTACATCAGGGCAAAATTGAAAACGGTGTACGGCAAGCACATTGACGAAAAAGGTCCAATCCCCGCACAACTTTTGGGTAAAAGTCGATTTCAGATTTAAAATCCAAGCATTTGCTTATTGCCAATCATTTCTGCGAATTTTCATCAGGGAATCCATGGGCTCAAGAATGGACCTTCCTGTCAGATTTGGCAATGCCTCATCAGGATCTCATGTCAATAGACGTCACAGAGGGACTGAAGTCGAAGGTAAATTTTGAATTCACACACCTGGCGAAATTCGCCGAGGACACAGCATTATTTTTATTGGATGGAATTTTTCTTCATTAATGGGAGATATTGTTAATATAAAATAATTTTACTGATTTCCAAATATAATCCCAGAAAAAGAAAATCTTGCAAAAATCCATAACTAACTCTGTTATTGGGGAATAACTTAAGACAACATAAATTTTGAAATTATTGCAAGTGGATCAAATGAAGAATAAAGAAAAGTTCAAATAAAACTCAAAATCGGCCTGGGACAAGGCCAGGAATGCTTTTAGGATTTCCTAATTAAAAACTAGTTGAGAATATATTTCAATTTGTCTTAACAAAAAGTTACTTGAGTATAAACAATTTTAACAACACTTTTCAACAACTTGGCGGAACTCTTCAAAATTTCGGAATTTTGTACACTTGCTCACGACACGAAAAGTTTGATCGCAAATGTGTCTTTGTTTGTTGGTGAACTGAGAAAATGCGGAAATCAATTCAGGTTTTCATTGTGTTTTTTGGGTTTTATGGGTTTCCTTGAGAAGTGCCTTTCTTATCAGTTACTAATTTTTTGTTGTTGTGATAGTTTTAACTTTATTTGGTGAGTACAAGTTCCCCAACAAACTCGGACGTCAACTAAATCCACTGTAGACACACTGTCGTTGCTTTCTTGCGTCTTAAACCTTGTAACGCAAAGTTCAAAACGTGTCTTATTCTAAAAAAAAATAAGTCGTCTTATAATAAAAAGTTTTTGTCTCAAATTTTGAAGGAGCGGAATGTTAGGAACTTGATTATTTCTTTGTGGACATGATGATGATATTGAAATCAATCAAGCTAATTAATTTTATTTTCATCATTTTTTGAAGGGCTACACCCCCGAAAGGATGGTCAAATTAGCAGAGAAATTCTTCACGTCTTTGGGATTCAACAGCTTGACCAAAACTTTCTGGGAGAAATCGATTTTCAGGAGGCCCGAAGGCAGAGACTTTGTTTGCCACCCGTCGGCCTGGGATTTTTGTCTGGGCCCAAATAACACCGACTTCAGGTGAAAGGCGAAAGACTAAAAGGATAAAAATGAAAAAAAGGGCTGTAGAATTTCCGCAAAAAGACACAAAAAAATCTCTCTTTTTCATTCAAGGATGAAGATGTGCACAGACATCAACCACCAAGACTTCTTGACTATCCACCACGAAATGGGGCACATCCAATATTTCATGGAATACCGGGATTTGCCAATCGCATTCAGAGATGGCGCTAATCCAGGTTTCGAATACGTATTCCAGGATTCCTTCTGATACACACCCTCTGATACACAATTTCCCCCAACTCTGTAATGTTCTTCCTTTTCGCATAGATGTCGCCTGAAATATTTCAGTTACAAGTGGACTCTCTCGTCTACAGCGATGTCTACAGTGATTTTTATCTGTAAAACGATTTTTGTCCTGTTGGGCTCTCCCCCATGTTAGAGGCTTTCTCTACAACGAAATTCTCCCTTCAACAAATTTTTTTTTTCTCTGGTTCCTCGAGTTTCGTTGTAGAGAGTCCACCTGCTGTATCTTTATCAGTTTGTGTTTATGTGATTTCGTTCAAGTTGATTTAATTCAAAATAAGTAAATATTCAACCAGTGATCTTGTGTCAGGTTCATGTCTTTCTGCATAAATTCCCCTTACAGCAACTGCATAATAATTATTCCGCTAGATTGAATAAAAGAGACATTAATAAAACGAGAAAATGAAACAACCTGAGTAATTTTAACACAAAAGCATAAACAATAATGACACGCAAAATTAAATAAAAGAATATACAAAATAATGAATGACAAAAATTCAAAAACAGACAAGAACACAAAGCAAAAATCAGTTACTGTAATAATGAGTTCTGTAGTGAAATGATTGGAAGCAACAAAATCAGAAACACAAAAATTCACTCTTGAAATGCTTTTTGTTTCCCCATTTGGGAATACTGATGGTACCTCGTAATTCAACCCTAATCCATTTCCCAAACTAGGGTAGAACTGCATGCAAAGCAGTCAAATTGCATGACACTTTGTAAAATTCAAAATATCAGTACCAAAAATTCAAAAATGGCCAAAGCAGGTTGAATTGTGGGGCAAGGGTCAAATTTCAAGTCAACTTTCCTGCAAATTTGACCATCAAATGGCATGATGGTCAAATTGCAAGAGGTAGAATTGCAAGGTACCGCCTGTACTGCTGTGCATGAAAAGGAACATGTTATGCCTAAAACTTGACACATATTTTTCATTAGTTTCTTAAATTGTGATATTTTCCTGATATCAAATGCTGTTTCAGGCAAAATAGTGGCAAAATGCATATTTATTCCTTTAAAAGTTTGCTGCTTATCAACAGGGCATTTCTTGCTCAGATGAGCCAAACTGTATTCAAATATGTTCAGGAGTAATCAGGAGCATTTTATCACGTTATTTTTACAATTTGAGTTAAAAGCATCATTAGCAACAAGGTCAGTAATTAAGCACCCCTTGACTTACATCCCAATCAGCAATATATTGGCTTAAACGTTCCAAAAAACGTTCTTCTATCCAATATATCTCGATAAGAAAATTTTGTTCAAACGGGAATTTATCATTAGAATGCAAACGCTCATTTGCCTATTTGGGTTCAAACATTTCTTTGAAGTATGAATAATTTTTTTTATTTTAGCGTTTCATGAGGCGATTGGAGACACGGTGGCATTGTCGGTATCAACTCCGAAACACCTCAAGAAAATTGATCTGCTGACAAATGAACAATTGTCATTGTTGGAAACAAAAAGGGATGAAATGGACTTGAACTTCATGATGAGCATGGCGTTGGACAAACTGGTCTTCTTACCCTACGCCTACATCGTGGACAAGTGGCGATGGTGAATGAGACAACTTCCTAATGACACGGGATTTCTCAACATTTTCTTTCAACAAGTCTTATTGCTTTCTATTCCACGTACTTTCAAGCTAATCCGACCCAGAAACGTGAACATCCAAAGCCATGTAATTTTAAATTACAGTAATTTCAATACTCATCAACCATTTCTCATTGTACAGTAATTCTTATCCCTTGATATTTGAAGATAATGTTTTATTCATTGGGATCAGGGGGGGGGGCAATTAGTAGGGCTGAACATATGCTGTACAGATTGGATATTTGTATCTTTTTTAATCCATCTAAATTCAATCAATTCAATTTTCCCACCCTTATCCTATCAGTAACTGCGCTGAGCATTGTGGGTTGAGAACCACTTTGCACAAAGGTCCACATTTTATTAAATTGCTTTTTTTAACCCTTGTGTGGCAAAGTCAGGATATTTTTGCAAAATTTTGTGCCACTGGGCACTGGTAATATAAAAACCTTTTATTTTTACCAAGGGCAAAGTTGGGAAAAAGTCCAAGATTTTTTTCTAATCCTGCAAAAAATTTTCAATGAAAAATAAATAAATAAAAAATCCCTGGGTGGCTGGGGTTTTTTCCTGCATTCCTTGCATAGGATTTGCATGGGAAAATCTTGGAAACCAAAGAAAATTTTCCTTCCAGATTTTTCCTGACTTAGTCCTCCTCAACCTTGGTGCATTTCAGTAACCTTGGGTCAAACTTAAATGCGCAAACACCTGGAAAAATCCTGACTCTGCCGCATACTGAAAAAGAACCCTGTGCTGTCTGATGGTTAAAAAGTGAGACCCCAAGTTGTGGACATAATTGATGTTGGGACCTTGTCCCTATGTTGGAACATCTGCATGTTGTATCTTGTTTTCCCTCAGACTTCAATGGTAACTCATTCAATTGGTTCTTGAGTTCATAAAAAAAAATTAGAGATAAATCCCCCAAAAATCCAATGAAATGTGTTTTTCAACTGAAGGATACAGCATGTACCTGTGTAGAAGAAAACAACACATAATCTTATCTCCTGGCATCAAAATGGCCCTAAAAAGCAAAGAAAAGTACAATTCTTGCTCCACTGCGCACAGATGATGGAGAACACTCCAAAAAGAAATTACAAAATTAAACCTTTGCATATTATAAATTTGAGTCACTTTTTTATTGATGCGAATGTTTTTTACTTCTATGAATACATTTGAATCTCAATAAATCAACCATCAATAAGTCAAATACCTCCCTAAGTCAATTTTTTTCTGAGTCCCCATTGAATTCCCCTTGGAACAATGGATCATTTTAAAAACCTCTCTAACTTGAAACTTTTTCCTCTCAGACCTGCCTAACTCAAATTTTTGGAGGCCTTTTGGTTATTTTTCTTGACAAAAAAGAAGCTATGAAAAACATAATTTCATGTGTTTTGAAACAAAAGGAAAGACTAAATTTGGCAAATTCATTCACTGCCTCCAAGTTCAGCATCCTGTCCACTCATTCAGATACATTTAATGCCTAGAATAACATTATTTACAATTTTGTGCAATTCTTCTATGTTTACTATGACAAAAATGCATGGTTCTGTTACTCAAACGGTCAAACCTCAATTATTCAAAACCTCCCTAAGTCAAATGTATTTTGGTCCCTTGAAATTGACTTAGAGAGGTTCAACTGTTTTTATAGCTCAATTTGTTCAAATTGAGAAAAATTAAACTTTTTAAGTTTTATTCCCAGAAATTTTGGAAAAGTGTCTGTATGTTGAGACGTGGTCAGGATGTAGTGTCTAATTTTTCAACATTTAAAGTGTCCCAAAGTTGAATCGTCTTTATGTCGGGGTGTCTGTATTTTGGTGCCTCACTGTATCCGTTTAAATTTTTTACAATCTCTCAGGGACTTATTCAAAGGAAAAGTTCCACTTGAGCGACTCAACGCGCATTGGTGGAAGCTGAGAGAGGAGATCCAAGGTATTTCAGCCCCGATCCCCAGGAACGAAAGCGATTTTGACCCGGGTTCCAAGTACCACATTGCGGCCAACATCCCGTACATCAGGTACCCATCAGTCGTGACTTGGAATTTACCGAAAAAAAAAAAAAAAAAAAAAAACTCAGAGACGCCTCAATAATTCAGATCCTTGGTGATGAAAGGTACTTCGTGAGCTTCGTCATCCAGTTCCAGTTCTACGAAGCCCTGTGCAAGGCTGCGGACGAATACGAGCTTGGCAACCCAAACATTCCACTGCACAGATGCGACTTCCATGGGAATGTCCAAGCTGGAAATTTGCTCAGGTTATTTGCTGTTTCTTTTTAAATAAAAATGTTGCTCAATCTATGGTTTCCCCTGAAATAATGCTTTCCCATCATGAACCTTTAATGAGCAGTACATCTGATAGTTTTCTCTTGATGCATTGAGTATTTTGATATTTCTTTCTTTACGTTTTTTTTTATTATCTGCTGTTGCTGCTTTGGATGCAGGAGGGGTCTAGCAAAATAGAGGTGGTACCTTGCAATTTTACCACCTGCAATTTGACCCCCCCCCAATTCAACAGTCAAATTTGCTGGGATTTAAACTTGTAATTCAACCTAGGCCCTGCAATTTGACCCACCCAAATAGTCAAAAAACATCACATATGATGTAGAAATCATTGCATTTGACATTGCTTTGCAATTTGACTGATTTGCAATTTGACCCTAGTCCAGTAACGGATTAGGGTCAAATTGTGGGGCACCACCACAATTTGAATGGGAATTGTAACAGTATCACATTGAGCTGATAAACAATTATTGAAAATTATTTGGCGCAAGAAAAACTTCAGTCGTGCTGTCTGGCATAATTATCAGAAAAATTTTGCAAAAGTGCTGGCAGCTTTCTGCTCTTCACTCAAAAGATGAGGCGTCCATTTTGCAGATTTTTTTTTTGCATGTACCCCAGTGTTTCTTCCAGGTATTCATGAAATTAGCATGGCATTAATGTTACGGGTTGCTGCCATTAATTGATCATCAATTCTGTCGATTCCATCAACAGCCACATTCACAGCCGCCACTTGGGGTGAGAATGTGGCAGCTGTGAAAATAGCTGTTGATAAAAGTGGCGGAATTTTCTTTGGAAGAAAAAGAGGCCCGCACTCTTAAAATTAATGCCATGTCAATTTGAAGAATTCTGAATGGAAAGCTGGGGTACAACAACAAAGATCTGCAAGATGGGCTCCTCATCTTTTAAGTGAAAAGCAAAAAGCTGCTGGGATGACTTTTGCAAAAAAAAATTAAAAACAATTTTTGATAGCAGGGCTGAATCTTTTCCTTGTACCAAACGATTTTTTTTTTCTTGAACAAAAATTTTTTTTCAGCTCAATAATATGCCATTTCAAATTCTATCCCTAGAACTTTGGTTAGACCCCTATAGTACAGTATATCCGAAAGAAAGTACGAGAATAACTTGTACATTTTCAGGCTAAATAACGTAACTAACGCTACATTTGTGTTATTCTCCGTGACACAATCATCTGTTTCTGTCATACTAATTCTATGAAAATCAAAAATTTCCTTCAAAAAAAATAAAGTGGGGTGATGATAAATTTGAAATTTTTTTTCAGGGTTATACCCACAGCCGTTAAATTAAAGTAAAACAGTACGTATGTGTTCCTCCATGTGGAATTTTAATATGTACTGTATTGCTTTATTTCTCTTAATACTGATTGAATACATTTTTCAGAAAGGTGATGCAACTGGGCAGATCAAAACCCTGGCCTGAGGTCATGCACATAATAACAGGACAATGGAATATATCAGCTGCTGCGATGAGAACTTACTTCGCTCCTTTGGAAAAATTTCTGGACGAATATTTCGATAAAACCAAGGAATGCATAGGGTGGTCAGGTATATTATGAGAAAAAATATCACACGATTCATTTTAAGATATTTTAATGCAATTTTTCCCTTTTTTTCCGCAGGAGAATGCGACGGAAGGTGAACTAAACAAATGAACTGGCCCTTTTTAAATGATGTTTTTCAGAACTTGTAAAACAGTCAACCAAAATTTCGAAGATTGAAAAATCATGAAATGAGCTCAGATATTTCTGAAACGAGGAATACTTCGTTAATTCTTTTTAGATTGCGTAGGAGGAATAAATAGTTTATTTTTAAATTCAAAAAAACGCTTTTTCGCATAATTTTCTCATTCACAAGCTTGTCAACGCTTTTCAATATTAATTCTGCCAATTAAAATACCTTCAGTTTAATTTCCCAGCTAGTTTGTCAACTTTTTTCCAAGTGAAGGTTTGATCAAAGAACGGAGCGACAAATTGCAGAAATTCATGGTGATTGTAGATTTCCAATGACATCCGGAATCTCAGGCTCGAAACCTTTCCTCGAACTGAAAAATAAATTTCAACCTATAGGGAATTTCGAGACATTTCAACCATCAAGTCGTGGAAATAAAATCCATCAAGTATCCGATACTCCGTTGTTGCATTCCCATTTTTTTTCGCGATAATGAAGGTTCTTTGTTCACAGGAACTAATTTTCTTTCCGGTTCCTCGAAAAGTGAAATTTATTTTTCCAGGAGCAGTAATAAAATTGAGGATTTTTTCGAAGATCCTCTGTATACAAACTCGCCTGTTTAAAGATTTTAATCCCTTCATCGTCTCCTTCTTCGCAAAATCCTCGTGTGAAAAAAATGGACAAGGTCCGTCTAACATGAATAAGCGTCTGGGTACAGTGGCCATTGCTCACGACAGAAAAACCTGCTTCGGTGCGTCTCCGTTTTGGGACAGCGATTCTAATACACTTGTCTACGTCGACGTGCAAAAGGCAGCCATCATCAGGTCACTTTTGCGATATTTGACCGCTTTTTTTCCTAGGGCATTTTATGGACATTTATCCATTGATCGAATCAAACACTTGATCAAACGCAGCGAGAGAGGCAACTTTTATTAAACCTGTTTTGTTGGAAAAGAATAAAACTAGGGCATGGACCAACATGTGAAATATTTGCCTAATATATGCAGATATATTTCAACTTATAATAAACACTTTTTATTCAAACAAATTTACGCTGGCATTTTGACGATGTATAAAAATAGATGACACTCTGAAACTTCCAGATAAAATGAAAATTTTGTTTATTAAATTTTCGTATTCCTCTTGAACAAAGGGAGCTATTTTATCATATGGAAACAAAGTCAAAATTAATGGTTTTATGATCTACGTTAAATCGTATTTTTCATCAGAACAAGCTAATTTCATGCTTTCCTTTTTATTAGAGGGTTTCCTATAGCAATTGTGTTTGACGCACATGTGCAAACTTGCTTTGGCCTTTTTGAATCATTTTCGTGCCGAAATACTGTGATACACAATCCAGAACACTTTTTCAGAATTTTTTGTTTCCCGTCATTTTTAAAAATATTTTTTAATACTGTACAACAAAACTGAAGGGACCGGAAAATATTTTTCTCGAGAGAATTTTGCTTTAGAGGACCTCTATAACATGGGGAGAGAACCTTATCAGACCACAAAAAATCCGTTATACGGAGAAAATCGTTGTAGACAAGATTTTTGATGTGGTGAGAGTCCACCTGTACATTTTTATTTAAAGAAAATTCCTAAAAAAAATCCTGAAGATTTTGCCTTACTTCCTGCTAAAATTATTTCCAATTGTGCAAACATGTAGAAAACTATGCTCTTCATCTTAATTGACTGAACATAAAAATGAACAATTTTCAAGGTAGGTCATGCGCAAAAGCTTCGAAATATACTGAAGCTCATCTCGCCCTTGAAAAAATGCACAAGAAGATTTCCGTATAGGGTTTTGCAACCCATTTTTATTCATTGATGTTTTCTCGCTTTATATTGATTCACTTGAAGCCTTGTCAGTTTGATGATATATCCTGGCATCAATGCTGATGACGTATTGTGGGAACAGGTTCTCGCCGAGCGAGTGTCGCGTAGAGAGACACAAGTATCCGTCGACGGACGCCACTCAGGTGTCGTTTGCGGTGCCGGTGGCGGAATCGGACGGGGACTACCTCGTGGGCGTCGACAGCGAATTGCAGGTCTTCTCGTGGACGGACGACGAGACGACGGATGTCTTCGAGGGTTACAGAACCAGCCAAGCTCGGGCAGCGAAACCCAGAAGGGTACCATCCGGGGAAGGTACTGTGATATTCCCGAAATGGGGTTCTTCCGGAATTTCCGCCCTCAGCATCAGCCAAGGTTTTTTTTTTTTCTTCTTCTTGGGAAACTCTGATTGTCCGAAGATGAGTTATCAATTTACGATAGAACAGTGAAACATTCGTTATCCAGGTGTAGGACATTTTTTCTTGGATAATCGTGAATAAATGGATGAATGACCGGACTCTTTATCTTTTAAGACTAGAATGTTATGATTTGTTTTTGACTGGGAAATATTTTATGAATTTTTAGGTAATTTTTGACATCCCTTTTTTTGGGAGGATGAGAAGCGAACAATTTCAGTGTACAGTTACTGGCATTATTCGCTTGAAAATATCTGCGATTTTCGAAGTACTGTATATTTATTCAAATTCTAACTGATAAACGCGCGAATTATAACTTGTCGTTTTGATCATGATTTTTGTAAGAAAAATAATATTTTGATTTTTCTGGACTCGCGTTTCTTGTTGGGTCACAAATTAAACTGACCAAACTCGCTCAGTTTTTTACTTTTTCCTCTATTGATAAAACCTTGTAAATTATTTTTACTTGTTTATTGTACTAAGAATAACTGCAATTTGACGACTGATGGGGAACAGGTTCATGTGAAAATGTTGATGAATGAGGATCACATGAAAGGCCTGATGGTTTCCAAAATATTTTCTTCTCTGAATTGGCTTTAGATTGTGTCAAGGTTAATTTTTCAGAATTTTATATTGAAGCCTCAGCATGAGCAATCCTTGATCTTCATTTTCTGAGTCATACGAGTACTTGTTGCAGATATAAATTCATTCATACATTAGGATCAATGCTTTTGAAGTCACTGTTTGCACCGAAACCTTGTGCATCAGTGAGATAAGAATCTGGCAGAAAGGTTATCTGGATTCTTATCACCAAAGAAAATTTAGGTTTAGAGAAGTGAGAATATCTCAAGATCTGTCAATCAGGTCAATTTTTATATGATAAAGAGAAGTCGGAGAACATCTTCAACTTCAATTTGAGATGTTGCAGAATTTTCTCAGTGTAAAATTTTCAGAGTTATTTGCTTTGGAAGTTTGCAAATTGGGAATTGTGCCATAAGCAAAGCATGTTTTCTTTGATGATTTTTATTTCTCTTTGAAAGCAAGTTTTTACTGCACAATGTGAGATTGTATACGCTATTGTTTGATTGTTGTCTTCATGAAATCTGTGATCAGAGATAATAATGAAGTCTTCTTTTAACATCCAAGGAGTGAGGTTGCTCCAGCTTCCCTTATTTCTGCAGTCATAATGTAGTTCTGCATTTTAATAATTAAATTCCCTTGAGGGCTGGGTAACTGCCTCAGCACTCAGATGTCTTTTGCATCTGGAATGTTTTTAATGCAGCTTAAAATCTGTAATCTATACTGCTCATGGAATTGTTTTGGTTCATGCGCGTTGTTTGATGAACAGCAGTATTTTATGTGAATGACTTTGGTTGTTCCTTTTGGAATTGTGACTTATTATTTTTTAAAGTGGTTGTTCCTCTTTAAAACATATTTGAATTTGGTCTGTAACATGGGATTAATAGTACAGTACATTTTCACCATGATTTCAGTATGAGTACATTTTACCATGGGCATTCCCTAGATCTGCTCTAATCCTTTGGCTCCACCCACCGGTCGGTTCCATGAAACCAAAATTGCATCTCTCTACAATTTTCCTAGATGTCGCATACATGGCAGCGGTACAAGTCCACAATGCATCGCGTCGGAATAAGAAACCGTTCGGCCGGTGGAAGGTTCACTTCGACGCCAGGGCGCTGCGTTGCTTTGAAGAATCCCGACCAGCGCCAGTGTCCATTACACCATCAACCTGGCAACCACCCCAAGCATACCGCTCATCAGCGCCATTACGGCAATTGTCCACGTCGACTAATGGATGGGAATGGTGAATCATTCGGTTCGCAATTAATGAATATATATAGACTCTCCATCATCAACTGCTGTCACCTTCG